ATCTGTTTCTGCTGCTAAAGCCACTTTCTACCACTCTAAATTCCAAGCATCTGCCTCTAACCCTAGGAAGCTCTTTGCCACCTTCTCCTCCCTGCTGAATCCTCCTCCCCCTCCCCCCTCCCCCCTCCTCCCTCTCTGTGGATGACTTCGTCAACCATTTTGAAAAGAAGGTTGACGACATCCGATCCTCGTTTGTTAAGTCAAATGACACTGCTGGTCCTGCTCACACTGCCCTACCCTATGCTTTGACTTCTTTCTCCCCTCTCTCTCCAGATGAAATCTTGCGACTTGTGACGGCCGGCCGCCCAACAACCTGCCCGCTTGACCCTATCCCCTCCTCTCTTCTCCAGACCATCTCCGGTGACCTTCTCCCTTACCTCACCTCGCTCATCAACTCATCCTTGACCGCTGGCTATGTCCCTTCCGTCTTCAAGAGAGCGAGAGTTGCACCCCTTCTCAAAAAACCAACACTCGATCCCTCTGATGTCAACAACTACAGACCAGTATCCCTTCTTTCTTTTCTCTCCAAAACTCTTGAGCGTGCCGTCTTTAGCCAACTCTCTTGCTATCTCGCTCAGAATGACCTTCTTGATCCAAACCAGTCAGGTTTCAAGACTGGTCATTCAACTGAGACTGCTCTTCTCTGTGTCACGGAGGCTCTCCGCACTGCTAAAGCTAACTCTCTCTCCTCTGCTCTTGTCCTTCTAGACCTGTCGGCTGCCTTTGATACTGTGAACCATCAGATCCTCCTCTCCACCCTCTCCGAGTTGGGCATCTCCGGCGCGGCTCACTCTTGGATTGCGTCCTACCTGACCGGTCGCTCCTACCAAGTGGTGTGGCGAGAATCTGTCTCCGCACCACGTGCTCTCACCACTGGTGTCCCCCAGGGCTTAGTTCTAGGCCCTCTCCTATTCTCGCTATACACCAAGTCACTTGACTCTGTCATATCCTCACATGGCCTCTCCTATCATTGCTACGCAGACAACACACAACTAATATTTTCCTTTCCCCCTTCTGTAACCAGGTGGTGAATCACATCTCTGCATGTCTGGCAGACATATCAGTGTGGATGACGGATCACCACCTCAAGCTGAACCTCGGCAAGACGGAGCTGCTCTTCCTCCCGGGGAAGGACTGCCCGTTCCATGATCTCGCCATCACGGTTGACAACTCCGTTGTGTCCTCCTCCCAGAGTGCGAAGAGCCTTGGCGTGACCCTGGACAACACCCTGTCGTTCTCCGCTAACATCAAGGCGTGACCCGATCCTGTAGGTTCATGCTCTACAACATTCGGTGAGTACGACCCTGCACAGTACGACCCTTACACAGGAAGCGGCACAGGTCCTAATCCAGGCACTTGTCATCTCCCGTCTGGATTACTGCAACTCGCTGTTGGCTGGGCTCCCTGCCTGTGCCATTAAACCCCTACAACTCATCCAGAATGCTGCAGCCCGTCTGGTGTTCAACCTTCCCAAGTTCTCTCACGTCACCCCGCTCACTCCACTGGCTTCCAGTTGAAACTTGCATCTGCTACAAGACCATGGTGCTTGCCTACGGAGCTGTGAGGGGAATGGCACCTCTGTACCTTCAGGCTCTGATCAGTCCCTACACCCAAACGAGGGCATTGCATTCATCCACCTCTGGCCTGCTGGCCCCCCTACCTCTGCGAAAGCACAGTTCCTGCTCAGCCCAGTCAAAACTGTTTGCTGCTCTGGCACCCCAAAGGTGGAACAAGCTCCCCCACAACGCCAGGACAGCGGAGTCACTCACCACCTTCCAGAGACACTTGAAACCCCACCTCTTTAAGGAATACCTGGGATAAATAATATAAATAAATAAATAATTGGTCATTTAGCAGACGCTCTTATCCAGAGCGACTTACAGGAGCAATTAGGGTTAAGTGCCTTGCTCAAGGGCACATCAACAGATTTTTCACCTAGTCGGCTCTGGGATTAGAACCAGCGACCTTTCGGTTACTGGCACAACGCTCTTACCCACTAGGCTACCTGCCGGCAGGTAGGATAAAGTAATCATTCTACCCCACCCCAAAGAAAAAAATCAAATAAAAAATATTGTAAAGTGGTTATCCCACTGGCTATAAGGTGAATGCACCAATTTGTAAGTCGCTCTGGATAAAAGCATCTGCTAAATGACGTAAATGTTTTTAGTTCCCATAACGGTGTCTGGTTATTCCTTCTCTTCCATTTCTACTGCTATGATAGATTCCGGATCAGCGGGGAACCTTATAGATAGGGAGCTGGTCTCTGAATGGGGGTTGCCCACCGTGCCACTGCCATCTCCGCTACACGTCACCTCACTGGACAATAAACCCCTTGGATCAGGCACCATTACGCACGTCACTCTCCCCATCACCATCACCATTCCCACACTACCGGAGCACCTTGAGGAGCTGTCATTCCACATCGTCACATCACCCCTTCACCGGATCGTCTTGGGATTGCCCTGGCTCAGACTACACAACCCCACCATCAATTGGAGCACTAAGAGGATCACAGCCTGGTCTACCTCATGCCGGAAGACCTGCCTGCTGGTGGTTTGTTGTTCCACGTCAGTGGAGAGTCCGGAGTCCGCCCTCCAGCCCAACATTCCACGTGAGTACGCAGATCTCTCCGATGTCTTCTCTTCAGTAAAGGCTACGCGTCTCCCTCCTCACAGGCCCTGGGATTGCGCCATTGACTTGCTGGAGGGACAACACCCCCCCGAAGAGTCGCATTTACCCCCTTTCCATGGCGGAGACTGAGGCCATGGAGAGGTATGTGGCGGAGACCCTGAAACAGGGGTTCATCAGACTCTCTACCTCTCCTGCCTCCGCCAGCTTCTTCTTCGTGGCCAAAAAGGACGGAGGACTGAGACTATGCCTCTTCGTATACTCCGTACTCGTCACACTGATAAAACTCTACAGAGGAACAATAAGGAATTAAATGTTTGGTCGTGTTACACAACTTCTATGAAGATCATACTGTGCTCCTGTCACGCCCTGACTCAGGGGACGCTTATATGTTGAGTCAGGGTGTGTATATTCCTTGTTGTGCTTTTTCTATGTTTGTGTTCTAGTATGTGTGGATCTATGTTGGCCGGTATGGTTCCCATTCAGAGGCAGCTGTCGCTTGTTGTCTCTGATTGGGGACCATACTTAGGCAGCCTATTGGCACTGTCTAGTTGTGGGATCTTGTTCCGGGTAAGGTTTGTTGTATGTACAACCTTAGGACTTCACGTTTCGTTTGTTTGTTGTTTATTCAGTGTAAATAAACATGTACGTATATCACGCTGCGCCTTGGTCTGACCCGTCCTTGAACGAACGTGACAGCTCCTCCTAAACTGAACCTATGATGAAGATATGGCAGTGGTCCATGTAATCACATCGCTCTACACTAAATGTAATTACATATCCAAAAATCGTATTTTATATTTCAGACAACATACTTGCCTTTTATCTGTAATCCGCCTCTAAATAATCAAGTGTGGTTATCACTTTCTGGCTTAAATGGTGTCTTTGGTCCACAAATAAATAATTATTCTCAATGTGGTTACTAAGTAACAGCAGTATTGTTGCCATGGTCACACATAGATGGAGACATTGTGATTGATGAATGAAGATGGAAAGAGAGAGAAATAAATGCTGAGTTAAAGAAAAACTCTCTAACACCTCTGCATGTGAAAATGTCTCTATATACAAAATAGCAATTCAAGAGTTGGGAAAATCTAATTCTGTGGTGTATCAAAGTCCTGCACCATCAGTGAGAATAGATGCTCCATATCTCAACACCATTGTAGTTTCAACAGATGGCCACACCACCCACGATAAAAAACATCCATTACCACAGGGAGCCCAGGGTGTCAAACAGCAGTTCCCTCTGTGTCCCATGGGCCTGGACCAAACTGAAGCCAGTAAAATCTCAATCTATCTGACGTCATCTGATGATTTTTATTTTTTTACAATTCAAGGAGAATCCAGTTGATCAGTCGTACATGACGAAGAGACTGTAGTGTAGTGATATGATATTATGAAGGACTATCAACAGGATGTTTGAGTCAGGCATGTTGTACATCAGTAAAGTGAAAATGTGTGTGGCTGTAGTCTCATTTGTGGTTGTAGTTTACTTATAGGTAAAAAGTATACCAAATGTTATCTGAATGATGTATACTGTTTGACTTCAATGCCTAATATATCTTAACTCTAATGTAACTCCACTTCTAAAACTACAAATGAACAAATGTAATCTTGACCTCTTGTTTTTTCGCTGTAATTGGTGCAGACCTCGAACTCAGTCTGAGAAGCGAATCAGATAAAAATAGAGTATCATTACAATCAGAACATTCCTCTTAAGTACATGTTCTAAAAATAAACTGAACAACCAAGGCAATAATAAAGCAAGGAACATGTACAAGGCTGAATTCTCACCAGAGAGAGAAGGGAAGGGGAGTGTGTAGGCGTTTGCTTAGTTCACCTGGAGACAACACTTACTGCCTATGCTTTGGTTAACACACATACAAACACACACACATTATCTTTCTCTCTCTCTCTCTCCGCTCTCTCTCTCTCTCTCTCTCTCTCTCTCTCTCTATGACACTTGATAGAGAGAGAGGGAGTGAGAGAGAGATATCATACAGCAGGCAGTTCTCAATGCTAATCACCCCCTCCCATTGCCATTCAAATTCTATTCCTATCTATGGTTGCTCACCACCCCTCCACCCCACCATCAGCCTATATAAAGAACATCCTCGTTCATGTACTTTATAATCACGACATAACTAGTCAACATAGACAGCCACCATAACAGCTCCTTGCCCGCGGGGAGACAAATTACAATGAATTGACAATGCAAACTCAGCTATTAAACTAGTCATATTCATTCTAACAATTCCGTTGTCAATTTACAGCGCCTGAATGAGGATGAAGTAGTGAGACAGAACAACTCCGCGACTTCTACAAACCTCTCAAACTCCGAACAGACACCTGTTTCAGACAGGCACGCGACAATGTATCGGTCGACAAAAGGAGCATCGAAGGCTCGGAGGGATCAAATCAACGCAGAGATTCGGAACATCAAGGAACTGTTGCCCATCTCCGATTCGGACAAAGCTCGACTCTCCTACCTACACATCATGTCACTTGCCTGCATGTACACCAGAAAGTCTGTATTCTTCTCTCAAGGTAGGCTCAACCTTTTTGTTATTTTAAATATGGTCACACGAAGTGTACTTTTTCTCTTGTGGTTTTAGTCACCAGGTGCACTGAAGTTTAACGTGCATGGTCGACAACCACTGCATCCTATCATGCACTGTAATTTAGAAGTTAATCTATTGATTTATTTGTTGGCTAATAGTTTGATTTGGTATGGATTTTTACATAATGTCCCTATACGTCTTGCGCTGTCCAAAGTTCTGAAAGTATTTGGCGCTGTCCATGGTACTAGTCTGTTGTAGCGAGTAAATGCGCGTGACTCCAATCTGTTGGAAGCATAACACCAGTAATATTTAGGATGAACACGATCCCTGTTGAATAAAATGCAAATAGTACAATTTATTTTATGCTTTTTGTCTCCGTGACGATATTCACAACTAATTTTAGACCTTTTATTTTATTTGCCAAAACAGACGCTCTTCAAGACGAGACCATGGACTTCATGTTGTTTCACGAGCTGTCAGGGCTGATGTACGAATTGTCAGGTTTCATGATACTCCTAACAAGCGATGGAAAACTTCTGTATCTATCTGACAACGTCGCAGACCACCTCGGCCATTGTATGGTGAGTAGCCTAAGCTGCAAACTGGTGGCTGTTGTTGTTACTTTGACAAACCATACACTGAAAGTATTGTGCATAGGCCTATGAAAGTATCATTCAATGTCATGCAACCTGTTTTTCTCATTCAGGTGGACCTGGTTGCCCAGAGTGATCGTGTATATGATATAATTGATCCTAGGGACCACTTTGTCATGAGGAGCAACCTTGCAGGTCTACCGATGACCACTACTGACACAGGTATAGATCTCTCATCACTGTACTAATCTAAGAATTGTTTTACTGTATCCATTAGAAAGACGTTTAGTAACCCAACTGCTGCTTCCTATCCTAGACTATGGTGACATCATCTATCAAAACACAACCAAGACCTTACTTTACGAATTATATAACTGTTCTTCAAATGTACACTACCAGTCAAAAGTTTGGACACACCTATTCATTCAAGGGTTTCTCTTTATTTTATTATTTTTTACATTGTAGAATAATAGTGAAGACATCAAAACTATGAAATAACCCATATGGAATCATGTAGTAACCTTAAAAGTGTTAAACAAATCAAAATGTTACATTTGAGATTCTTTAAATAGCCACCCTTTGCCTTGATGACAGCTTTGTACACTCTTGGCATTCTCTCAACCAGGTTCACCTGGAATGCTTTTCCAACAGTCTTGAAGGAGTTCCCACATATGCTGAGCACTTGTTGGCTGCTTTTCCTTCACTCTGCGGTCCGACTCCTCCCAAACCATCTCAATTGGGTTGAGGTCGGGGGATTGTGGAGGCCAGGTTATCTGATGCAGGACTCCATCACTCTCCATCATGGTAAAATAGCCCCTACACAGCCTGGAGGTGTGTTGGGTCATTGTCCTGTCGAAAAACAAATGATAGTCCCACTAAGCCCAAACCAGATGGGATGGCGTATCGCTGTAGAATGCGGTGGTAGCCATGCTGGTTAAGTGTGACTTGAATTCTAAATAAATCACAGACAGTGTCACCAGCATAGCACCCCCACACCATAACACCTCCTCCTCCATGCTTTACGGTGGGAAATACACATGCAGTGATCATCCGTTTACCCACACAACGTCTCACAAAGACACGGCGGTTAGAACCAAAAATCTCCAATTTGTACTCCAGACCAAAGGACACATTTCCACCGGTCTAATGTCCATTGTTTGTGTTTTTTGGCCCAAGCAAGTCTTTTCCTCTTATTGGTGTCCTTTAGTAGTGGTTTCTTTGCAGCAATTCGACCATGAAGGCCTCATTCACACAGTCCCCTCTGAAGAGTTGATGTTGAGATGTGTCTGTTACTTGAACTCTGTTAAGCATTTATTTGGGCTGCAATTTCTGAGGCTGGTAACTCTAATGAACTTATCATCTGCAGCAGAGGTAACTCTGGGTCTTCCATTCCTGTGGCGGTCCTCATGAGAGTCAGTTTCATCATAGCGCTTGATGGTTTTTGCGACTGCACTTGAAGAAACTTTAAAAGTTCTTGAAATGTTCTGTATTGACTGACCTTCATGTCTTAAAGTAATGATGGACTGTTGTTTCTCTTTGCTTATTTGAGCTGTTCATGCCATAATATGGACTTGGTCTTTTACCAAATAGGGGAATCATCTGTATACCCACCTACCTTGTTACAACACAATTGATTGGCTCAAACTCATTAAGAAGGAAATCAATTCCATAAATTAACTTTTAAGAAGGCACACCTGTTAATTGAAATGCATTCCAGGTGACTACCTCATGAAGCTGGTTGAGAGAATGCCAAGAGTGTGCAAAGCTGTCATCAAGGCAAAGGGTGGCTATTTGAAGAATCTCAAATATAACATTTTGATTTGTTTAACACTTTTAAGGTTACTACATGATTCCATATGTGTTATTTCATAGTTTTGATGTCTTCACTATTATTCTACAATGTAGAAAATAGTAAAAATAAAGAAAAACCCTTGAATGAGTAGGTGTGTCCGAACCTTTGACTGGTACTGTATATTTATCTTATAATGACAACAGATTACATTAATTTTCAAACCTTTCTGCTTTTTGTCCTCCTCCAGACAGGTTATTTAGATGTCGCTTCAATACTACAAAGTTCATCCGGCGGCAGGGTGCGGAGAACAAGTTGATGCTAGTCAGAGCTCGATGCCTCACCCCACCTTGCCCTGTCTCTGCATACTGGAACTCCAACCCAGTATGGGTGTGTTTCTGTACCCCTCTGAAGACAAAAACGCCTTACCTTACAATCGCCAAGAGTGGCCCGCTCACCCCACCCCCTGAGCAGTCCATCCTGCTGGCTTGTTTCCACTCTCAACACCACAGGGACATGAGGCTTTGGGATGCCCAGGACAGGTAAGAATAAGCCTGGTTCATTCTGAAGTATAACACTGTTTTGGTAGTGTATATGCATGAGAACATGAGGTATGTTATCAACTCTGCTGTCCCTTTCTCCTCCAGTGTGAGTGTGTACCTAGGCTACGATGTGGATTCTCTACGCTCTCGCTCCTGGTACAGCCTGGTCCATCCCAGGGATCTCTCCCATGCTTCTACACAGCACTGTCTCCTATGTGAGTACATCCACAATAACACAACTACTCAACCACAGCCACTTAACATATAGTGTAACACAACACAACCAACAGTACAAACACAAGAGGAAGACAGACCAGCGAGGAGAGCTGAATATGGGAATGTGTCTGTCTCTGCAGTGAGTGAAGGAGGGGAGAGGCAGGTGGAGATGGTGGTGCAGGTGGAGGCAGCAGACCACTCATGGGTCTGGCTCTATATGGTCCTCCAGCTGAACAACGAAGAAAACCCCATCAGCTGCCACAACTACGTCATCAGGTACCACAGCTACACTGTTATGAAATACCACTATGCCATTTGTCTCTTACCTTTAACAATGACCTCTATACAGGATCTGTGAGATATAAATCATTATTGTCTCTTTTCCTCTTTCTCTCTCTTAGTGAGTCAGAGGCGTGGTCAATACGCCAGCAGCTGTGTTTGGAGCAGAACCAGTTCCCTGGGTATTTGGGTTCTGGTGAGAGCCTGTCCAGTCCAAATCAGGTCTTCACCCCCAGTAGAAGTGACCTGTCAGCCCAGTCCTTTGACTTCGGCACTGCCACGTCTGGTGTGAGCTCTTGTGAGGAGCCCATGCAGCCAGTTGGTTATGGTCCTCGCTCCAGCCTGTCGTCTCTGGATGAAGAGAACTTCCCCCAGACACATGGAGGACAACACCAGTGGAAAACAAAGACCAGCCATCTCTCTGTTGGACCAACCACTCCTGCCTCACTGACTGACCCTGAGTCTGATATTCTGACTCAGAGAATTACCTCTCACCTAACCAATATGTCAGAACCCCTCCCCTCCTCCCTCACCAAGCCCCTCGCCCCTCTTACTATGCCCCACCCTCAACAGATGGGGGAGTTTGCATGCACTCCCCCGTATACCCCTCATCTTGCTAGTGGCAGTTTTCCTTTTGTGGAGAAACTGCAACTCAGTTTAGATCCTTTCAATGCAGCTGTGTCATGCCCAATGGTCCATGCGGTTATTAACTCAGCACATAGAGCACCAGGCTTCTCCCAGGCCCTCTCTTCTGAGCATCCTCAGGTACTCTTCCCGGCAGAGCCCCATAGAAAGCTGCCCCCTACCACCAATAGTTTTGGGGGAGATGAATGCTCCATCATGGGCTTGCCACAGATTAGTGGTCCCTTGTATGTGGATGTTCCCCACAGGCCCTTCCGTGGCCCTCTGAATGAGCTCCTCCTAACTCCAGAGGCTTCCCCCACACACCCGTCCTGCTCTTTCTTCTCCATGGAGAGAGAGCAGGAGCGAGAGAGGGAGGAAATTTCTCTCTTGGCTAAATATATTAGCTCTTTAGCTGAGGGATTCTATTGTGACCCTCTTCTCCCCAGAGTAACCCCATCCACCTTCTCGTCTTCACCCAGCCTTCAGGCCACATCCCAGAATTCCTCTCCTCCTTGCGGAGGTGAGTGCCAGCCCTGGATGGGGCTAGACCCGCCCCTTAGCCGAGAGGATATCTCTCTGTATGAGGAGAGTATGGCTCTAGAGAGCCTCATTGAGGAGGTCTCAACTTTCCCTTTGTCCCCCTCTTCATGTTACTCTCCCCCCCCTTCCTCCTTTAACTCCTCCCTGCCATGCTTGCCACTCACCCCAGTGAGCAGGTGTAACCCCAGCCTCTTCAAGGGTGAATCTTCAATTGGAGTAAACCACTTCTGTAGCGTCCAATCGACGCAGTGTAACTGCATGGCAGTGGGTGGAGCTATGATGGCAGGGACTAAAAGAGACATGGAGGAGTCATCAGAGAGTGAGATAGATACGAACGTGTCAGTGGAGCCTCCATTATCAATACCATCGTCAGCCATCGCTCTCACAGCCTTCCAGGAGTGTGCCCCTGCCTTGGTCCATCCAGCCCCCACCATCAGTTTGCCCCATGCCCAGTCCCTTCTGGAGGAACTGGATGCCATGGAACCTCTGTTTGAGGCAGATGCCTCTTTCACCCTGTCTTGGGGTGACAACCTGAGTTGTATCAACTCCCACTCAACCATGCACTCACAAAGCTTCCACCAAGGTAAGGGACATTTTTGTCATGCTAATATGTTGATATAAGACAACAGGCCATTTTACCACTGGCACATAAAAAAATGTCATAGTCTCATCCGATATTTTCCATTTCACAGTATAAGATGCATCACTACTAAGATTTCAGTGTGATAAATATTGTTTGCTGAACTAAATTAACGAACTCTTCTCTGTTGTTTTCTTTCATTTCAGATGGAAGCCTGCGTGACCCTCCGTCCTAAAATAAGTCTGTGACTTACTTAATTCAGTATGGCATATTGTCATATTTCAAGCTTTTCCTGTAAAATGTGCAACGTCTATACAAAATATTAAAAACGGTGAAAATGTATATTCTCCTATACATATTTAGGATACTTACAATCCAATATTGTATAATAATGTTTTCTGATGATTCAGTTGTACATGCATTACTTTGAATTAATTTGATTGCTGAGTAACCTCATAATAGAGGTAATTTAAAATGCCATATTTATATTAACTCATAGTGAGAAAGAAGGCTTCTTTGAGCACAAAATATAAAATGGCGAAAATGTAACAGACCACAACGATTTTGTTTGGTTTTTATCTATAAAGATACAGTGTTTTCTACAGTGATCTACACATTGGTCAACTTGGTCTTATTTTGTTGAATGGATGCATTTTGGTTTGAAAATCATAATGGGTTGTCTTTCAGCAGTTCTCAATCGATAGACTTCTGTTTTAGTGTCAAAGTACACATTCATGTAGCATTGTCTATGGCAGAGTAAAGGTTTGATTTCTATGTTTTAGAAATTAAACGATTATATTATACACAATAGTGTTTGTATAGAATAATGTGGAAATATATGTGTTGTTCACATACTGTGTTTGACTGATCTATTGACTATATATTTTGTATATGACTCTAAAAGTGGAGTGAAAAGTGTGTATTACCAGTGTACCAATAATATACTGTATGCTGTACATTCATATATTATATAACTTTCAGATTTCTGTATTTGATTAAAAAAATGACATCCAGTACATTAGCTACTATACTGAATATGAGTCATGGAGATTATTAATGTATTTTTTTCTTGTTGTCGATGTATTTGGATACCAATCAAAAGCAACACTATTAAAATATATTTTTAAGTCTTTGTGTTGTACTGATAATTTAGACACTGTCATTCTAGCCATTACCCATCCGCCTCTCCCTCATTCGCTCCATTGTGTGAGGAGAGTCAGGGACACTTCTGACGTACATTGTGACGCCTGTCGCACAATCTTGACTATGGGGAACAATCAGCAGCTCATACTGAGCTACAGGCTTGAATGCAACTGCATTTGCGCAAGCACGCACGCACACACACGCACACACACACACACGCACACACACATACACACAGACACACACACAGACACACCCACACACAAACCTGACAGATGTACCCTTTAATATATAAACTAGAATGATATTACAGTTTTTTCCCAATTGTTTTGGTGCTATTTTCCCAAGTATGTGGTGATCCAAGCTGGTAACACTTGTAACGCAACAAGTCTTATATTTAGAACCTTTTATTGTGCATTCATTTTGTTTGGCGACATCGTTCAACATGCAACCATTGATCCAAAATATAAGTTTACTGTGAAATACCATTAGAACATTTATTTAATCACAACATAATTTTACATTCACGCTCTTATTCAGAGCGACTTACAAGAGCAATTAGGGTGAAGTGCATTGCTCAAGGGCACATCGACAGATTTTTCACCTAGACAGCTTGGGGATTCAAACCAGCAACCTTTCGGTTACTGGCCCAACGCTCTTAACGGCTAGGCTACCTGCCTCCCATTGTGTGATATCTAGTTGTTTTAACAACCATTTAATCCAATAGAAAAAAATACAAAATACATGTTTCAAAATTGCCCTTTGAACGTGGTATGCCACAGTACTGTAAATTACAGTACTTTACACTGTTTTCACATTAGGTAATACACTTGCACTACCCATCAAAAATGACTTAACATTTTCCCCCCCATAATTTCTTTCCCATGTGTGATCAAAAGGTGTGATCATTGAAGATCACAATCATTGATGCAAAAAGTAAATGTATTGTTCGGATATACAGTGAGGGAAAAAAGTATTTGATCCCCTGCTGATTTTGTCTGATCAGTCTATAATTTTAATGGTAGGTTTATTTGAACAGAGAGAGACAGAATAACAACAACAAAATCCAGAAAAATGCATGTAAAAAATTTTATAAATTGATTTGCATTTTAATGAGGGAAATAAGTATTTGACCCCTCTGCAAAACATGACTTAGTACTTGGTGGCAAAACCCTTGTTGGTAATCACAGAGGTCAGACGTTTCTTGTAGTTGGCCACCGGGTTTGCACACATCTCAGGAGGGATATTGTCCCACTCCTCTTTGCAGATCTTCTCCAAGTCATTAAGGTTTCGAGCCTGACGTTTGGCAACTCGAACCTTCAGCTCCCTCCACAGATTTTCTATGGGATTAAGGTCTGGAGACTGGCTAGGCCACTCCAGGACCTTAATGTGCTTCTTCTTGAGCCACTCCTTTGTTGCCTTGGCCATGTGTTTTGGGTCATTGTCATGCTGGAATACCCATCCATGACCCATTTTCAATGCCCTGGCTGAGGGAAGGAGGTTCTCACCCAAGATTTGACGGTACATGGCCCTGTCCATCGTCCCTTTGATGCGGTGAAGTTGTCCTGTCCCCTTAGCAGAAAAACACCCCCAAAGCATAATGTTTCCACCTCCATGTTTGACGATGGGGATGGTGTTCTTGGGGTCATAGGCAGCATTCCTCCTCCTCCAAACACGGCGAGTTGAGTTGATGCCAAAGAGCTCGATTTTGGTCTCATCTGACCACAACACTTTCCCCCAGTTCTCCTCTGAATCATTCAGATGTTCATTGCCAAACTTCAGACGGGCCTGTATATGTGCTTTCTTGAGCAGGGGGACCTTGCGGGCGCTGCAGGATTTCAGTCCTTCACGGCGTAGTGTGTTACCAGTTGTTTTCTTGGTGACTATGGTCCCAGCTGCCTTGAGATCATTGACAAGATCCTCCTGTGTAGTTTTGGGCTGATTCCTCACCGTTCTCATGATCATTGCAACTCCACGAGGTGAGATCTTGCATGGAGCCCCAGGCCGAGGGAGATTGACAGTTATTTTGTGTTTCTTCCATTTGCGAATAATCACACCAACTGTTGTCACCTTCTCACCAAGCTGCTTGGCGATGGTCTTGTAGCACATTCCAGCCTTGTGTAGGTCTACAATCTTGTCCCTGACATCCTTGGAGAGCTCTTTGGTCTTGGCCATGGTGGAGAGTTTGGAATCTGATTGATTGATTGATTCAGTGGACAGGTGTCTTTTATACAGGTAACAAACTGAGATTAGGAGCACTCCCTTTAAGAGTGTGCTCCTAATCTCAGCTCGTTACCTGTATAAAAGACACCTGGGAGCCAGAAATCTTTCTGATTGAGAGGGGGTCAAATACTTATTTCCCTCATTAAAATGCAAATCAATTTATAACATTTTTGACATGCATTTTTCTGGATTTTTTTGTTGTTATTCTGTCTCTCACTGTTCAAATACACCTACCATTAAAATTATAGACTGATAATTTCTTTGTCAGTGGGCAAACATACAAAATCAATAGGGGATCAAATACTTTTTTCCCTCACTGTAATTACGACATAGGCTTACTGTAATCAAATGAAACAAATGAAATCAATGAAATCAATGAAAGAAACATAAATGTTTAGCAGGCACTTGTTTGCATCAAGCCTGTCTTGAACATTTGGCCATAGGTTCTCATCGACATTTCAGTAAATGTCCTCATTGTTCATGCACCTGGGGAAAAACCTTTTGGCATGGTGAATCCAAGCCTGAAATAGGTCTGAATTGCTGTCATTGCATGCCTCAACCATGGCCTGGAGGAGGGTGGCATGCTCAAGGGAATGGCAATCATACACCTACCATCGGTATTGTAATCATGTATTGTATTTTACAGTATTGTATTGTACTTCTGTATTGTAGTGGTCCTATGTGGCTCAGTTAGTAAGAGCATGGCGCTAGTAGCAACAGAGTTGTGGGTTTGGTTCCCATTGGGGTCACATACACAAATGTGTGGACTTACTGTTGTCCCTTTGGATACAAACACATATATTACAGTACTGTATTGGCCAGCAACTTCATTTTGGATACATGTTTAGTGTATAGGGGATGCATTACATACAGTACATTTCTGATCTTGTCAATATTAGATTTTTCTTTACTCACTGTGAAGTAAAATCATTAAAGTCATCATCATAATAGTACAGTAGAGAATATTTCATACTTTATATGTTTATACTTTACAAACATACATTTTCATTATGTAGTTATCAACATTTGTTTAAGACAAAACGATTTAAAATCTATAGGTTTAACAAACGGTTAAGTAATTATCAATTAAGAGCAGTCGGATTAACTAATAGTAAAATGTATTTCAACAATGAAAAAACAATCATATCAAAAGTAATGTGAGCATTGCATTGTGAAAAGTAATTACTTTATATGAACATGTATTGCAATATGAAACATGTATTTCTAGATGAAACACCGATTGAGTTTGGTGAAAATGTGACTGTATGATTTTGTGTGTTGTACTTAGTCAATTGAAAATGTGCTTACAGTTTTGAAACAGCTGCCTTTTTGATGATCTGTTTGGAGTTTTGTATGAAGCGTGGTGAAAATGTACCACATATTTGTGAAAATTGCACCAGACATTTAAAAATATATATAATAATCTCAAATGCCGTCCACCCTCCTGGCCCTTTACACCCACTGGGTCTTGTAGCGCTGCTGAGTTCTATGAAAGAGATTCCTATTTCTAGTGCTCTCTCATTCTATCCTTCCTGCCCTTGCGTCCTTGTGAAAATTCAAGAGGGAAAAAAATAGACTGAACCTAAATGAGAGAAAAACATGAGCGTGATAAAAGGGTAGAAAGACACGCAAGGAGGACTTGAGATGTTGTTTTTTTGTCTCCCTCCATCTCACTTGTTATCTCTCTACCTCTCCCTTTCCTCCCACAATGTTGTTTTCCTTTAATCTTCCCTTTTTTTTTTTACACATCTGTGTTCTCTTGTTCATTCAGCCGTACCTCATTCATGGAAACCACCTCCTTATTACTCATCTATCCCCGTTCTCTCCTTCCTAGCTTTGCATCCGCTTGCTACTTCATCTGCTCTACAC